TGTGTTTACAATGTTGGATTTTGTTAAATGAATGGCCGAATTAATATTCGTTATTTCCTCCTTTAAAATTTCAACTTTGTACTTTGCCTGCAATATGAGGGTATTACGGAAGTCCTCACTAGTCTTTAAAATTTTTGAAATACTATTTGTCGCATTCGTTATCTCCTGCATTCTTTCTATTAGATCTCTGTTGATTATTAACTGGTTATTGCTGTTGTCTGTTAACTCATTGATTTTGTTTTTCAAAAGCATAAGGTCATCATGGTCTGGACTACCTGCCAGCCATTTCCACGCCGTTCCAATCTCATCAAGAGATCTTTTAGATCTCTCTTCAGGCATTAGCCGATTTATAAGGTGAGATAGGGTAGTGATGTCATTATGTAGGAAGGGGAGTAGTGGGTGGTTGTCTGGAATTCCTTTGGCCAAGTCGTCCTTGATCCTCTCTAGAGTGTCATGATATTCCTTGATGTTAATAACATGCAAAATTTTGAATGTCCCTGTTTGTATTTTTCCTATTCCACTCTCTATAAGAACCACTTCTGATTGAGAGTAGTCCAATATTTCTGTGACCCCTAGGCAACCTGTAATTAAGAACTGGAAACCCGGTAAATAAGTAAGTCAGTTTCTGATATGACTCTTATGGACTATTCTCCCTGATTGAGTCAGGACAGTTGAGTGCCTCTTCTCCTTTACAACTTCTTCTTTGAAACGTTTAGATAATTTGGTTCCTAATCTCTTGTTCTGTTTGACAAATATTTTCTGACCTTCTTGATATTCTTTTGGTTCTTCCCTAACACGATTATGATTTGCCAAATCATTTTCCTGTTTCCTCAAGAGTCTTTCGTAGTTGTTAAGGCGAGTCCTTTCGTAGTCCTCTGGTCCAAAGGTCGTCGGTCGTCCAAAAAATAGATCTACGGGTTTCTTTCCAATTGACGAATGTATTGTGTGATTGTACTTGTTAACGCTATCTTGCAATAGCTCCTCAAAAGAGTAATCGGGTCGCTCACACTTACTGCAACGCATAATTTCCGATAAGGTCGAATGGAATCTCTCTATTTGCCCATTAACCTCGCTCTTATAAGGCGGTGCCGTAAAAATTTCCATGCCAAGTTCGTCTTCCAACATAAACCGAATGGTCTGAGAATTGAAAGATCGCTCGTTATCAAATACAATTGACTTCGGGACCCCAAAGTAGAAAATTATTTCTCTCAATGGTTTCCTAATGTCTTCAATGCCTTTGCCATTTATCATTCTGGTTACTGCGAATTTTGTAAATTTGTCTATTGCGGTTAAAACTCGAAACTTGTCTGTAGAGAAGATATCTATGTGGATTGTATGCCCAGGATAAGTTGGCATAGGTGTCTTATTAAGTTTGGGAGCGTTCGGATGTCGCTCATACTTATTTTCTTTACATACTTTACAGATATTGATCACATTCTTTATTTTCCTAGTCATGGAAGGGAAGTAATAGCTCTCTAAAATTTGTCTCCTATTCTCGGCATTATTCCTATGTGCTCTGTTGTGAGTCTCAATAATGATTTGTTTTTGTCTCTCCTCATCAGTAACATCTTCAACCATTGTTCGAGCGAATCGTACTTTAATGTTTCTGAAGTGATGAGGGTACAGTGCTTGAATCATAAGCATAACTGGCTCTGAGGTCTTGATGCCGTTGACTACTGTAGGATTTAGGTATCTCTTTAATATGACTTTCAGATCTGATTCCGCTAGACTGGTTTCTTTAATGATATGTCTATGGTAGGAGGGAAATACAATGTTAAATTCATATGAGGAAGCTGATGATTCCTCAATAATGATCTGATTTTGAAGGTATTTATTGGCACCTCAGCGGAAGGAATTAGGTCTTCCGATGAGTCCTCGGCACTGTGAACCGTGGGCGTTAGGGAGTTAACATCTGTCACTGGTGGTCTCGATAGCGTGTCCGCGACTACATTCGTGCTACCTGGTTTATAAATTAACTCGTAATTATATTCTTCTAACTGTGCCTTCCACTTCTTCATCTTCACATTTGTGTTCTTGTTGCTTAGCGCAAATGTCAAAGGTTGATGGTCGGTAAATATCTTTATGCTTCTTGCTCCATACAAGTAACAATTCAATTCCTTTAAAGCCCAAATTATCGCCAGCATTTCTTTCTCATTTGTCGCATATTCCTCTTCTGCCCTACTGAGAGTTCTAGAAAGGTATGTGATAGGTCTATTGCCTTGAGATAAAACTGCTCCTAAAGCGTATTTCGAGGCGTCAGTAGTGAGTTCAAAGGGCTTATCAAAGTCGGGATAGTTCAAAACGACTTCCTCCGATACCAAACAGTTCTTGAGCTGTTTGAAACTTTCAATCTGTTCGGAATTCAAATTGACACTGATTTTTTTTGACTGGTTTCTCGGGGTTTTCCCTATATCGCCTCTCATCATGGAAGTTAATGGTTTGGCTATTTGAGCATAGCCCCTTATGAATCTCCGATAATGTCCGGTCAAACCCAGGAACGATCGCAAGTCATGAACTGTTCTAGGTTGAGGGAAATTAACTATGGCCTTAAGTCTGTCTGGGTTTGCAGAAAAACCTCCTTCCTTTACATTGAACCCTAAGAAGTCAATTTCTTCCTTTAAGAATTCACTCTTGTCCAAATGAACTTTCAGATTAGAGTCTTCCAAAGTGCGGAATATTATCCTCAAATTTTCAATGTGTTCCTTTTTAGTCCTACCAAATATCAAAATGTCATCAATGTAGACGTAGCACCGTTTCCCTATATGCTCTCTAAGAATATCATCTAGAGCTCTTTGTAATATTGCAGACGCGTTACGTAGTCCAAATGGTAGTCTTGTGAACTCGAACTTTCCATTCTTGACGGAAAAAGCTGTTTTCCTCAATATCGGATTCCCTAAGTGGAATCTGATGGAATCCGCTCTTTAAATCTATGGTGGAAAAGTATTTCTGTTCGCCTAAGTTAGCCAAGATTTCTGTAATTTCAGGTATGGGGTATCTGTCAGGTCTAGTTATCTCATTAAGTTTCCTATAGTCAATAACCATGCGGTATTTTTTCACACCTGAAGCATCTGGTTTTTTTGGTACTATCCAAACTGGAGCATTATATGCGGACCTGGAAGGGCGAATTATCCCGTCCCTTAATAGTTCTTCTATCTGTTTGTCAATTTCGGATTTCAGTGCCATTGGATACGGATAGGATTTTGAATAAACTGGACTATCACTACTCGTATTAATTTCAGCTTGTACGATTGTTGAATAAGTGAGTTTTTTATTGGGATCTGCAAAAAGGTTTGGATGGTCATCCAAAATATTCCTGACTTCTTTTTCATCTTCGGGATTTAGATGATTTAAACGTAGATTCATGTTATTAATCTCATCAATTTGCAGCTCTTTCAAAGGAAATTTCTTTCCATCCAGAATTGTGAGATAGGATCTCCAAGTGTAAATCACTGCATTCAAAGATTTCAGGGTATCATTCCCTATTATCCCATCAAAGGTCTCTAGACCAGGAAGGATGTAAAATTCTAACTTTCCGATCCCGCAATTAAAAATGTCAATAAAACTATGGGTCTCTATACTAACTATGCCGCCTACGGACTTAACATGAAAAGGTTTCTGGTTCTTTAGAGGGTTTCTAATAAATTTGCCATTAATATAATTTTTGTTCGAACCGGTGTCTATAAGAAATTTAAGTTCGTTGCCATTTTTCATTCTGAAAGGGAGGTATGGCAACGTTGAAGCTAGTCTAAAAAATTAACGTCATCTACAATTGCCAACTGATCGTCTAGATCCTCCTCGTACGCTTCGTCATAGGAAACCTCATATTCCTGTTCATCAGAACCATTCATTTCATCCGGCTCTGCATCCTCACGTATTTGGGCCTCAACATTAAACATTCTCTGCTGCTTTTGCGGCTGATGAATATTTCCTGAATTATTTCTCTTAAAGTTAGGCTGAACATTGTTAAAAGCATTACTCAACTGTGGCCTATTCTGATAGTTTACCTGCCTAGTCTGTATTGATTGATCCACGTCCATTGGTACAGCAGGTTTAGGAGGAAGTGGGGGTCTGTATCCTCCGTATTGGGGGTGTCCAAAATTATTCACTACTGGAGGTCGATTCGAAAAGTTCGCCGGCCCTCCGTATTGTTGTTCTCCACTTCGGAAATTCCGATAACGATATTGAGTAGGGCCTCTGTACCTTTGGTCACCTTGAAAATTCCTATCACCAATCGTCAGCTGTGGGTAAAAATGTCTAGGAGGGTTAGTTTGGGGGATCCTGTTTGGTCTAGATCCTTTCTCGGTAGCGTGTTGAATACGCACACCTAGATTACCTAATTTTAAACAGGCATTTAGAGCCTGAGGCAAACTTGTCGGGTTTGTAACACTCATTAAGCTTGGAAGATTACCATTAAGTCCTCGAATAAAGGTGTCCAAAGCCTTGTCCCTATATTGTAACGCCCAAAAGTCATGCTTTCGTTTTTGGGGTACATTATTGCTTTCGTTTTTGGGGTACATTATTATTTTAAATACCATTTTTACTTACGTATGTTATATACATCAACTATGAATTATATTTTTTGTTTGAAAATGAATTAAAATATTTAAGTTATGAATTAAACTAACAGCTACTCAAGCTTGGCACAGCGGCGGCCCGATGAATAGGCGAGCGACGAATAGGGTGGCGGCAGCTTGGCACAGCGGCGGCCCGATGAATAGGCGAGCGACGAATAGTAGTGGCGGCAGCTTGGCACAGCGGCGGCCCGATGAATAGGCGAGCGACGAATAGGGTGGCGGCGGCTTTGGCACAGCGGCGGCCCGATGAATAGGCGAGCGGCGAATAGGGTGGCGGCGGCTTTGGCACAGCGGCGGCCCGATGAATACGTCAGCGGCGAGTAGTAGTGGCGGCAGCTTGGCACAGCGGCGGCCCGATGAATACGCGCACGACGAATCGGGTGGCGGCAGTCAAGGCTCTCAACACCCACTTCAAGGTGCTCAGAAATGCTTGTTACACCGGGTAAAGAATGGTGTCGTGACTCAGATGACGCATCAACTCTTCCTCGGCCCAATATGGAGGAGTCGGGTGAATCTCAATCAAATTTCGAAATGGATGAAGAATGTCGGCGTATGTTTTACGGTTACTTAGAAACCTCAGTGACTCGGCGAGCACAGTCACCCTTATCCTCGAATAATTCCTCGCTGGATGAGTCGGATAACGAAGATCAACGTTCCTCGTCTCCGCCAAAAAGGTATGGTCTGGGATTTGTCCGTCAGAAAGATAGCCAATACAAATATCTCGGATTTCGCTGTTATGAGAGAACAGTTACTGTGCAGCTTTTGGTCCCCGACTCCGGGGAAAATCCAATATATGAAATAACCAACCCACCGCCGGATAATCATCGTACGCCCTCACCCACACCCGCGATAGGGGAAGAGATCAACACCGAAGATATCCATTCAATATCCAACACCTCACACAAACATGAGGAGGTTCCTACTTCATCCTCACATGCTTTCGCACATTTAGAAGAAGACTCCAGATCGACCGCAAGTAGTTTTGTGACAGTTTCCGAAGATCCTAGTTCTGAGTGGTGGACCCAATGGCAGACGCTGGTTGGTGTTCCTCCATCATCACCGCTATATAACATAACCGAACAAGCAAATCTGTTGCATAGTGATGACGTACAAATTCCATCGCAATCCAATGCTGCCGTCATATCGGACGATCACAGGTCCCCCAACGTGAAGGAAGATAAATCATTACCAGGAACGCCGGGACACGTTGTCGAACTGTCATCACCATCGATGTCTTCCCGATCGTCATCCTCATCCTCATCAGCCTCGTCGTCTTCATCATCATCCACAAGCCAAACGATGACACCTCATCAGCCAACATTGTGTAGCAGTCAACCTTCCATCGATGAAGTGTTTATACCCAGTAAGGAGAATAATAGCACACCAAGTACAATCAAATTGCCAGTCACTGAAATCCCAACTGAGTCAACGCCATCGTCCTCGACAGACAATCCCGTGAACGATAACACATTTCTCGAACTGCCAAATTATCCCGAAACCTACAAATCCGTATCGAGAAGTTTAAAAACAATTGGAAAAAGGGACACAACTGAAGCGAATTGTTAAACAAGATGGCAAGCAGTACCGCATAATAATATCAGCAGACGGGTAGTGAAGGTATCTCTCCGAACTTCTGCAATTGGTCTCTAACATACCTTCCTATTCGACCGAGATATAGTCGAACCAAAGTGCCCATGTCGGAGAAATAAAAGGTTACATAACACCCTAGGGCTTCCTGGCTATTGAAACCCAATAGCAATAGAGAAAGCAAATCAAGGAATCAAAAATCAGAGGGAGGAAGAGATGCCATGTAACGCCCAAAGTCATGCTTTCGTTTTTGGGGTACATTATTATTTTAAATACCATTTTTACTTACGTATGTTATATACATCAACTATGAATTATATTTTTGTTTGAAAATGAATTAAAATATTTAAGTATGAATTAAACTAACAGCTACTCAGGGTCATGTAATTTAAATGTATTTGAATATTAACGGTCACACAGGTCCCCTAGTAGAAAGAAGTATACTTAAAATACAACATTGGAACCCCTGGTGGCAAATGGCGGAACTACGCAAAACTGTCAGATTGGGATCAGCTGCTGTCATGAGAAAACAACAATCGTTGTCCAGCCAAAAAGGTATAAAAGGAGACGCATTTCACACAATCGAGATCAGTCTTCTGTTGATGGCTGGTAAGTCAAGTGTGATTGGGAGGAAGAAAAGGCGCGCAACCTCGGTTGAATTGAGTCTTAGTAAGCCAAACAATAAGCCTTGACTATTTGTGGTGACTGGACTGGACTGAACGCAGGGTCAAGTGAGGGTTGTAGCAATACTCCCTATTCTTCGGGCTGCGTTGACGGCGACTGAACGCAGGGTCAAGTGAGGGTTGTAGCAATACTCCCTATTCTTCGGGCTGCGTTGACGGCGACTGAACGCAGGGTCAAGTGAGGGTTGTAGCAATACTCCCTATTCTTCGGGCTGCGTTGACGGCGACTGAACGCAGGGTCAAGTGAGGGTTGTAGCAATACTCCCTATTCTTCGGGCTGCGTTGACGGCGACTGAACGCAGGGTCAAGTGAGGGTTGTAGCAATACTCCCTATTCTTCGGGCTGCGTTGACGGCGACTGAACGCAGGGTCGAGTGAGGGCTGTAGCAATACTCCCTATTCTTCGGGCTGCGTTGACGGCGACTGACGTACTCATCGGGCTGCTGCTGTGCCAAAGCTGCCGCACCCGATTCGTCGTGCGCGTATTCATCGGGCCGCCGCTGTGCCAAGCTGCCGCCACTACTACTCGCCGCTGACGTATTCATCGGGCCGCCGCTGTGCCAAAGCCGCCGCCACCCTATTCGTCGCTCGCCTATTCATCGGGCCGCCGCTGTGCCAAAGCCGCCGCCACCCTATTCGTCGCTCGCCTATTCATCGGGCCGCCGCTGTGCCAAGCTGCCGCCACTACTATTCGTCGCTCGCCTATTCATCGGGCCGCCGCTGTGCCAAGCTGCCGCCACCCTATTCGTCGCTCGCCTATTCATCGGGCCGCCGCTGTGCCAAGCTGCCGCCACTACTATTCGTCGCTCGCCTATTCATCGGGCCGCCGCTGTGCCAAGCTGCCGCCACTCTATTCGTCGCTCGCCTATTCATCGGGCCGCCGCTGTGCCAAGCTGCCACCACTGCTACCCGTTTATTAACATTTCGACTGAACTTTGTGATTTAGTGTTCTTCGTAAAACGTTCTGAACGTGATTTTATTGTGTTTAGTGTAGTGTTAGTGTTATTTAAGGAAATAAATTTATAACGTTTTAAGAAAATATTTTTGCTTCGCTCTCTCTCTCTTTATGTCCTAACAAATAAATTTTTGTGACGACTCTGGCCCCCGCTGAACCTACCCCAGCTTCAAAGTGAAAACGCGTCGTCACAATATGTTTGGGTCAATACATCCAAAGCCTCGTTCCCTATATCCAGACAATCAATCTTGTCCAGAATCAAAGACAAATGGTGGTAAACCTTCTGGTAAAAATCTGTTATGGTTTGCCCACCCTGAGATAGGACGGTCATTTGATACTCTAAGGTCGAAATATCTCTCTTATCTGAAAAATGAAGCACTAAACACTTTCTTATCGCTTTCCAATTTAATGGGGTCCGATAAGACTCCAAAGCCGTGTCGGCCTCACCAACAATTTTATGCCTAACAGTGTGTAGAATTGTGAAGTATTTGGTTGTTCCCCTTTGTGACTCATAAATGTTCATGATCCTATCAACAGCTTTCCTCCACGAACTAAATTCTCCTGGCTTGCCCGAGAATTCCCTTAACGTCTTCACTATGTCTGGTATTCTCTCTCCTTCTGAGATATCCCCAGATCCTTCTATGTCGACATCTTTAGTGGCGGTAACATCCTCCCCCTGTTTGAGAAGGTTTGCCACCGTCTCACTTATTATTCGTTTCACCTCATTAGTCTGACTTTCTGTAAAGGGATTAAACCTTACGGGAGCTGCCCCAGAAGGCGAAGATGTCTGTCCTGAAACACTCATAGCTTCGACCCTTGTTATTAAGTTGTTTAAATCTTCCGGCATTGGCCGCTCGAAAAAAGGGAGAAAAAGAAACACCAAATCCTAGTTCTCGTCACAAATCTATTATCAAAATTTCTTTAAACTTCTTTCAGCACGGATATGACTCTTTAAATTTGGATGCCACACTCTATTTTTTTGTTTAACTTAATCTAACATTTCATATTTCTTACATTTGTTAATTTCGCACAAATATGATTTTTTTGTAAATTTAGATGTCACACTTTATTTTTTGTTTTACCTTACTCTAACATTTCTTTCTTCTTACTTTGTTATTTTTGTTAAACGTATTCTAGCACAAATATGATTTTTTGTAAATTAGATTTCACACTTTCACTTTCTGTGTTATTCCTTATTTTGTTTAATTTTATTTTAACATTTCTTCTTTTTTACTTTTGTTAAATTTATAATAACTTACTAATAATAATTTGATCATTTTCCTTATATCCCGGTAGTCCGCTAGTTCTTACGTAACATCCTTTTCGTACTCCTACTCAGGAACGGTTCTCGTACCGGCTGTTGGGATGTTTTAATCCTTGTGGTTGTTGGGTTCTAGGATGTGTTGATCCTTGTAGTTGTTGGGCGCCAGTTAATGTTAGAAGTTAAAGTTTATTTCACACTGCTATGGTGTTTCTTTATTTTGTTACTAACATTTATGTTGCGGTGCTATGCACCTCTCTTGTTGGATTTACAATTATGAATACCTTCAACTTAAAACTAATATTATACTGCAGCCTGGTCGTGCTCGTTATTACGCTGAGTCATCACTTGCGGTGCGCTGGTATTAGTGCGCGTGTTTGTGGCGGATGACTGCCCTGGTGTCATATTCCTGTTGATTTGTCGGACTGCTTGCGCAGCATAATGATGGGAATGTTTACTAGTTGGTTTGCATATTTAGTTTGATGTTTATTAGGGTGAGCCGTTAACTTATATATGGATCTTCCTATCTCACCGAGCTGAGTCGATCTAGCTATGTATGTCCGTCCGTCCGTCAGTCCGTTTGTCCCTGTTAATTTGTAATCACTCTACAGGTTGCAATTATGGCTCGATCTTCACGAAATATAGAATGGTGGTGGGGATAAGGCTATAAAAGAAGCCTATTGCTTTTGGAAATGATCGCATCATATTTGGGGGTTAAAATGGACCAAAAACCAAAACTAAATTCCTGATTTTGCAGTTGCTTTGCAGGTTGCAATTATAGACCAATCGACGCGGAATTTAGCATGGGCCTGGAGTATAGGACTGGTCAGGAGCCAACCATTTTGTTTGGTAATCAGACAATATTTAGCGGGTAATATAGGCCATAACTTTTATGTAAAAAATATGAAAATTTCCACCAAACCGCGAATATTTTTAATCCTGGCGAAATCACAAATGCACGCAAATGTCACCGTTACATTGATGCTCATATCCAAGATATCGCATATATAGCCAACTATGTAAAATCTCCTATATCAATGATCCCCTTCATTAGACCGTTTATAACTAAAGAATGGCTGGACGCATTTTGACAATTCTCACAAGTTCTTAGAGAAGAAGGTAGAGAAGGATAAAACCAAAGAAAATTGCGTGAAAATATGCTAATAAAAAAGTAAATATTTTTTTATATTTCTTGTCGTATTTTTATTGCATGAGATTTTTTTTATATTTGATTTACAATATTAAATTTTACGTTTGGTAATATTTTTCACCTCACAACACTATGTTTTGGGAGCATTATATTTAAGACGCAATTATCGTCCGATTCTCTAAAAATTTTGCATGGGGATAGAGTTAGGGTCATAATTAAAGTCTATTGTTTTTCAAGGTGTATATTTAGTGGTTCAAATGGTTCGAAACTTAAAACTGATCTGATCTTGCAGTGGCTCGGATGTTTGCATGATGTTAGGGTTTTGGACAGCACGGAAGTGTAGAATTTTTGGACGACCCTTGAATTATATTTTGCGGGTAAAATGGACCACAACTTTTGTGTAAAATTTTTTATTGGATACCTATCAACGTGACATACATTGTAAATATAAAACAAAAATATATCCGGTAAAAAAACCAATGTAATATTTGTGCAGGACAGTATGGCATTATTTCAAATAATCGACCAAGATGTGTTTGAACCTGAGCAGGTTTTCCAATATATTATAATGTTGTAGGGTATCACATGGATCGAAGGCGTTTGCTTACTTGTTTTAAAATAGTTTCACAAAAATTATAAATTTCCAGGGAATAATAAGTTTTATACCCTCCACCATACTATGAAGGGTATATTAACTTTGTCATTCCGTTTGTAACTCCTCGAAATACTCATGTCAGACCCAACAAAGTATATATATTCTTGATCAGCGTAAAATTCTAAGTAGATTTAGCGATGTCCGTCTGTCTGCCCGTCCGTCTGTCTGTTGTAATCCCGCTATCTTTCGAACGAATTGAGATAGAAGGCCAACATTTTGCACACATGTT